GCAATAATGCAGATGTGCTCCATCTACAGTATTGTTAAAAGGATGTAGAATTCAAATGGTTAAGTCAAGATTGGCCAGGTTGCTTACTTGTTGGATTTTAATTACAGGACCACTATACACCACACTGATAGCTTAGTTCCAGGTCTCCCATTCGCCAGACAGTTAGTTGTCGTCTGTTTTGAAAACTGGAGACACCATAAACATTTCTGTTGAGTGATTCTCTCTCTCTCTCCCTCTCCCCCCATTTCTTTTAACAATTGCAGTGAATGCAGCAAGTGAAGCCGTGCAGCAGGTGGTGGGTGATGTGACTGAAGCCGGTCAGAAAGGTAAAGAGGCATCCTATCAAACTAGCAATTCTCAAAATGAACAGCCTCAAGATTATAATATTTGCAAGAGATCCAGAGCATGTCTTTCCCACTCTGGGTTGTTTCCCTTCTAGAACTAGCAAAGCTCCTTCTGCTATTCCCAGTAATAAACCTGTGCTCCAGTTAACTATTATAAATGGACAGAACACGCAGAAGGCCACCTTGACTCTGTTTCTGGACCGCCAACTCTCACCCCATGTCTCCAATAAAGAGCAATGCTTTTGAAACCAAATGTGTGCAGAAAAACTTTCCCGTACACATTTTGAGCACTGTTTATCAATTTGAGAGAAAATAAATTCACTTTGAAAAGAATTTCGAAATAACTTTTTAAAAAAGAAATTCCTGTAGGTGAGGTTTAGGATTCCTGTGAGAGCCATACTTTGGACGTGCCTGATGGCGCGTGTTCTGTCTTTCCCTGTACAGTTGTCTCTGCGAGAGCCAGCAGCCAGACCCCATTCCCAAACTTCCGTTAAATGCCTAGAGGAAGAGTTCTCACAACGTAACTCCTCTCGCACAATGTTTTTCAGATTAGGAACAGTGCGTGCCAGGTAAACAACAGAGAAGTGATGCAATAGACAGAAAAACAAATACAGTACAGCACCCTTTTGGCATCCTGCAAGGCTATGGTATACTCAAAAATATCACTACACAACATTCGAAAAGAGCCTGAAGAACGAGGCAGGGGGCAAAAATCCAAAAGCCCCTTTCATAGGCAAATAAAATATTCTGAAGAGCAGAGGGCAGATTATGGCACAACAGTAACTTTCACCTTCTTTATGGACAAGAGCAGAACTCCGCCCTTCCTTGTACCTGCTGCAAGGCTTTCAGAGTAGTTAGTATATTATGAGCATCCTCTCTAGGGAGGGATAAATGCATCTCAAGTGTACCTGGTGAAAGTTCTGAATCCCTGAGAGATGCCATTAGTGCTCAACCATTTTTTTTTCATTATAAGTTTCTTGGAAGCAGTGAGATTTTTCTTTTTCCTTTTGCAGACTTATATCCAAAAATCTCCCCATCCATTATTTGGAGGGGGGGTGGCTGCCTACTTGCCATCAACCCGAGAACTATTTTTCAGGGGTGTTTATGTAAGGGGGCAGGGGCTCCATAACTGGTAGGCAGGTCATTTGGAATGTGCAGTTTGAGAGTATAGATACATTTTTTGCATGTGATTATTTAATGCAGTGGTTCTTAACCTTGGTTACTCAGGTGTTTTTGAACTGCAACTCCCAGAAACCCCAGCCAGCACAGCTGGTGGTGAAGGCTTCTGGCAGTTGCAGTCCAAAAACACCTGAGTAACCCAAGGTTAAGAACCACTGATTTAATGGACTACATAAATAAAAGAAGTGTGGTGTAGGGGATAGTGACAGACTAGGGCACAGGAGACCTATGTTAAAACGTCTGCTCAGCCAGAAATTCACTGAAGGGTGGCAAACTCACTCCTTAAAAATCTCAGGATACTTTGAACATCCTACTGGATGGTTGTGAATTGTAAGTGACTACATGGCACATAAAAACCTACTACTGTATATTCTATTCAATATTGCTAGAAAAACTAGTCTCACAACATACAGCTGAATTAAAGAAAAATTTAAACAGTAATTCATTAATAAATGCAAATTATAGAAAGGTTTTGAATGGAAAGAACCAGGAAAAAAGCTCCCAGTATCATACTGCCCTTATATATACAGTATATCCAAATATGGACAAACATCTGGTGTGCTATTTACAGTTCTGGTCACTGCAGATGGCATTAAAAGAGGATTAAATAAATTCAGGGAAGCTAAGACTGTCGGTCAGAGTGGCTATATATTATTTCACTGTCTCCCATATTTCAGTTGCTATGGAATGCAAGATGGAAGGTGCAGTTTTGTTCATGTCCTGCCGGTGGGCTCTACTTAGGCAACTGATTCACCGTGTGAGCAGAATGCTGGACTAGGAAAGGCCCTGATCTGATTCAGCATACTGTAGCTCCTATTACATTCTTAAGCCAGCCCAAAGGTCGAAGATATAAAGGTTTCTGTGAGTTTCTAAGGTTCCTCTCAAACCAAAATAAAAGTTGGTATAATCAAGAATATAGGAAAAATATGGCCGATGGGGCTTGAGCCTTGCCACCCCCACCACAATGCTCTAAAAAACACTAGACAGAGAACATTGTGAGTCAGCAAAGTGGTGTCTACACTGCCAAAGCAATTTCTTCTGGTACTATTTGTAGTCGCAAAAAATCCTTGGCGGAAAAAGAACAAAACCATGCTATAACCACTCCTAATGGCAACCCCTAAATGTGAGAAACTCCTGGACAATTTCTCCTACCCTGGGAGACATTTTTCTTTCAAATAGTATGGAAACTTGAGAGGTCATATGTGTGCAGCTATAATATACCATGAACTTTAGCTCCCTTCTAAGGGATGAACCACAACTAAGACCCATTTCTGGCACGCCTAAGATAATTAGATTCATTCAGACTGGCAGCTCTAATTAAAAAAATATACAGGTAGCAACATAATGGGAAAGACTGTTGGCACTGTTTGCAATGTAACTGCCAGTTAGAGCAGACGAGAGTATATTGTATGAATAGTCAGGGCTCCCATAAGGTGGGTACCAGTGTTCCTTAGGCTTTATTCAGCAAAGAACTGTCTTTCTACATACACAGGTAGGTACCTTCACTACTATTCATATTTTAAAGAATCCCAGAAAGCAAACTATATGTGAACAAGCAATTGTCCTATTTACTAGATGATCTGTCTTTTTGTGTTAAAGTGGTTGATGATGCCTGCAAAACTGTACAAGATGCTGGTGAAAAAGTGTCCCAAGGTGTAACAAGCCAGGTAACCTCCTGGGGTAAAAGCTTTGGCCAGAGCGAAGAAAAGAAGAATGTTTCAACCTGAATTACTTTGCCATGAACTTCTACTTCAGGAAATTCTTCAGCTGACGTATAATATATATTACAATATTTGTATTGTCATTAAACCCAGAGAGTGTGTAATATGCTATTTGGTGATTGATTAATTAATAAAGAAACAAACTAACAGGCAGACAGCCATCCTCAATTCCATTTGTTATATTACCTGAAACTAAAGATTAGTTTAATAACTGATTGCATCAAGGAACCTACAGAGGGTGGCTTCACAGAGGTCCTCACTAGTAACTCTATTTGTGCCATGTGAATCCCATGTGCCCATGTAAATAGATGCATACATGTTTCATCATAAGATAAAGGTAAGGTGTAATTCAATCTATTCAGTCTAAAAGCAAATACAGTAACATACTTCCCTACCCTGTCAACCACAACATTTTGTTTCTTCACCACCACCACTCCTTTATGAAACCCTCAGAAGAAATTTCATTTTCTGGTAACTATTGAACCACTTACAAGCTTTGAGAAAAGACTGTGTAGCTGCTCAAGTTAACTGAATTACATGTGTAGAAGTACTGGATCATCAACAGAAGTAAAAGAATGTGCAACAATTTGTGTTAAGAAACCAAACATTTAATGAAAGGGATAGTGTTTGGAAAAATGAAGGAAGCATCCAAAAATGTTTGACCCACACCTGGTAAAAACACAAACAGCAATTTGAATGTATGCACTGAACAAGTGTTGTGGATCAAATACAGTGGTGCCTCGCTTAACGATTTTAATTGGTTCCAAAAAAAAACATTTGTATGTGAAAACATTGTTAAGCAAAACACCATTTCCCATAGAGATGCATTGAAAACCGGATAATCCGTTCCAATTGGAACGGATTACCATCCTTAAGCGAAAATCCCCATAGGAAAAAACGTTAAGCAAAACCCATTGAAATGCATTGAAGCCTATTTCAATGGGGGAAAAAAATTCACAAAAAATTCAAAAAGACTCAGAACAAAGCCAAATTAAGTTAGGTGCACTAACGATTCCAAGCATTTTAAACATTTTTTAAACATTTTAGAATATTTTAAAAATAGCAAAAACAGGGCTGTAAAAAAAACGTTAAGCAAAACAAGGGGACCTAAAACTGTCATCATTAAGTGAAGCATGGTCCCAAAATCGTTAAGCGAAAATCGCCCATAGGGAAAATCGTTAAGTGAAGCACAAGATCGCTCCGAAAAAGCCATCGTTAAGTGAATTTTTCATTGTACGAAGCAATCGTTAAGGGAGGCACCACTGTATTGTAGAGATCTTCATATCCCTCCTGTTAAAAATGGACTAGCTTCACACAACATGCAACTAGTAGAATCTTCTGTAAACATATGGCTTTTTTAAAAGGCAGATGCATGAATGAGTCACTGAAAGATTGCTGAATATCAACTGTTCCACTCCCTGCTCTGGTTCCTCTTTAGGGTCATTGACTGATCACAATCCCATTCTCTAGCAAAGCTGACTTAGACAACACAGTATCCTTCTGTCTTTAATATCTCACAAGTGTTTGTTGCATTTTGAGTTATCACCCCTGCAGGAGCTAGCTCTTTGTATATAATTTCATGTGGAGACAGCCACATGTGCATCTGCAATCATTTGGGAGATGTGACATACTTCATTTGTGAACCTATACTTGAAAAAGACTTGCGTGAAGATTTCTACAAGCTCAATATTACTGGGATATGTGGATGAAAAGTTTCAGCTCTCTTTAATAAACTATGAAAACACAAAACAAGATATGTTTGGAAAGGTCAACTTTTAATAATTGTTTTCATTGCAATGTTATGTCATGAGTTACAAAGTAGCTAGAAAAAAGCATGGGTTTCTGGGAGGGCTTTTTTTAAAAGAAAAAAAATTCATATTCATTACATAAATACAGCTGGCACTTTATAGGGCCGCTCTGGATGAAACAGCTTGTTGAAAAACCTTATACAACTTTATGATCCAATCCTGCTTCAAGGCCCTCTTTATTAAATTCTTTATGTCCAGAATATGCAAACCTCCAAAGAAAGGGAACAAAAAGTCAAACTATTAAGAACCTATATGAGATCTGTAGCAGTTGTTTGCCTCTTTGGTGACAGTGATTTTTGCTTGAATTGTTCTGAGAGGCAATAGCTTAATGCTAAACTCATCATAGAAAATAAAACACAAATGAGACGAGTAAGAGGCTCTGCAAGTTCTTAGGACTGCCTAAAGTTATGCTCCAGTACACATCATTCTTTAAAAAAACCACACACAAGCAAAATGGATATTAAGTGATGAGATTAAACACAAGTCACTTAAATTGGATCTTTGTATAACAATGATACTGTTTCAGTTTATAAAAATATCAATTCCTGAAATTCATCTGTCTATGTGGACACTGCAGTGCTTCAGTCAAGTTGAAGTTGAGTACATGATTTAAAGGCAGCCTTGTAACAGGAGCACAGAGTATAAAAAGAAACATACACATTGTCTAAAGTGAACCAGGCCTGTGGTTCCCTAAGTGTAAAAATGAGAATCTAAAGTTATTCCCTGCAGTTGACCCTTTAAGTCTTTGTCAATGTCACCACACTGATCATCCAAGGCCTTTACTCAGAAGTGCCAAAGCTGAAGAGCTATGCTTTTCGGACATCAAAGTGCATTAATAGTTTAGCTATTTGCTCCAACAGTACACAGTATATGCGACCTGAAGCATTGCTAGGTTGCTTATTGTGGTTAAAACCACAGGTTCATAGAATAAAAAGATAACTTTTTAATCTCAAGGTGAAAAACTCAGACCTCCATACAAGTACAGATGAACTGGTTATTCTTTAGCTACCTCCTGGCATGAAGTCCTAGATCCATAATTTTTCTCTGTTATTATAAAAAACAACTAGCATGAACTGAAGTTGATTGAGAATTATATCCACTATAGTTAGGTGAGAAAAGAAGAGAGGGATTTCTGTGGTTATATGTAAACTTATAAGCTTTCTGAAGAGAGTACACGACAGGTTGAAACAGGCTATCCATTTATGTGAAGGTCAGACCAGCTTCATTGTACACCTTGAAGACCTTCTCAATTGCATTGACGTAGGCGGCTGTTCTCAGGTCTAGACCTAGATTATACTTCATGGCAGTACGCATGATTTGCTAAAGAACATAAACATATTATAATGTGAGTGATAATATTTACAAAGTTGTTATGCTTCATTTGTTATGCTACTATGAAATATATATACAAAAATAAAACAAGTTTAGCTTGGAAACAACTGACACTTCCAAATTGACTCCAGCCTCTTATTCATCTTCTAAATGGCTTAAAGTAATCAACAAATTGGTAAATGAATATTTCTACACATTATAATACAGCTCATGGATCTATCAATAATTGAAATCTATCAGTACTGGAATGAAATATATTAACATTTGAAAATCTGAAAGTTAATTATTCAAACTGTTCAAGAGGCTGAGAAATCTACAACATCCAACTTATGTCAGAGCAAACTAACACGTTAGCTGTCATTCCAGATAGCCCATCCAGTCATGTGACAGTAGGACAACTCTCAATTTCTTTAGCTTGATTAAGCTGAAAATTTTGACATTCCAGCAATATGCCCATTTATACTAAGTCACCACAGGGCTCATCCCCAAGGCAGATATGCAACTCCCCCCCAAAAAAAACCCTATGCCCTGCAGCTCCACTCCCCAACTATGTAATCAGAGAAAGCACTCTTACTCTTTCTCTTCTGGTGAACAGTAATTAAGGCCTATTCATAGTCTGCTATACGTACTGTGGTAATGCAAGAATGCCAAAATAAGTACCCAGTTTCCCCGAAAATAAGACAGGGTCTTATATTAATTTTTGCTCCAAAAATGCATTTTCAGGGGATTTTTTTTTCATGTACAACAATCTACATTTATTCAAATACAGTCATGTCATCTTATTCTGGTTGCTGCACAATGGTGGAGGGCGGGGTTTCACTTAACTGGGGCTTATTTTGGGGGTAGGACTTATATTAAGAGCATCCTGAAAAATCATACTAGGGCTTATTTTCAGGTTAGGAGAAACGGGGTAGGGAAGTGCCACATGCCTACTCCTGTTTATCCCTAGGATATGGTTCATGTCATTTTACTACTTCATGTTTATGTACTACATACCCTTGCAGAGCGTTCCATGGTGTAGGCCAAGCCAGAATGCACAATGTCTTTTTCAGACGCACCCTGTGTTGAGAAAGGGGTCAATGTGCAGTCAATCATGTGTTCAATTCTTTATTTTAGCATAACTATTAATGGGACTGAATTTGTGTGTTTTGTTTTAATATTCTCCTTACTGTTGATGAGAATGAGCTACTGAAATAAATATGAAAATTAGATCCACATGGACTAGAATGTATTCAACAGCTATACACATTTGCTAGTTCTAGAAGTACTGTAGCTGCTCCTAGTTTTTGCACATGATGCAAATAATTTAGTTCAGTACTAATAAAGAATAGTGTTTCAGTAAATAGATACAGTTTAGGCTACAATTATAAGCTACAATCTCTTAAAGGTAGAACTATACTGTAATAGTAACTATGTAACTATAATGTAATGAAAATAAAAAGCTACAATCTCTTAAAGGTAGAACTATAATGTAATAATAACTATGTAACGATAATGTAATGAAAATAAAAACTACAATGGTGCCTCGAATAGCGATGTTAACGCGTTCCGCAAAAAACATCACTATTGGATTTCCTTGCTATTCGAAATGAGGTTTCCCAATGAAATACATTGAAAGCCGGCTAATCCGTTCCAATTGGAACGAATTACTATCATTAATGGAAAATCTCCATAGGAAACCTCGCTACTCAAAACGCAGTTCCCCAATTGAAATGCATTGAAACCTATTCAATGCATCTCAATGGGGGAAAAAAAATCAACAACAAATTAAAAAAGAGTCTGAACAAGGTCAAATTGGGTTAACAACGCTGTATTTAGTGCACTTTATGATCTCAAACATTTCAAACAGGAAACTTTAACTTTAAACCCTTTAAAAATAGTGAACACCAACCGTGGGGTTCCCCAATTGAAATGCATTGAAACCTATTCAATGCATCTCAATGGGGGGGAAATCAACAACAAATTAAAAAAAGAGTCAGAACAAGGTCAAATGGGGTTAACAAAGGGTTTATTCAGTGCACTTTACGATCTCAAACATTTCAAACAGGAAACTTTAACTTTAAACCCTTTAAAAATAGCTAACGTATTCAATGCATCTCAATGGGGGGGAAAAGATAGCTATTCGATAATCGCCCATAGGAAAAATCACTATTCAAAGCGAAAAAATGCCCCGGAAACCACATCACTATTTGGTTTTTTCGTTAATAGAGGCGCTCGCTATTCGAGGCACCACTGTATACAGAATTCTCATCTGTCATTATGTCCTTAGTTCCGATGAACACAGAGGATTGCTTTTTAGCCTTACAGTGAATCACTATTCAAAGCGAAAAAATGCCCCGGAAACCACATCACTATTTGGTTTTTTCGTTAATAGAGGTGCTCGCTATTCGAGGCACCACTGTATATAGAATTCTCATCTGTCATTGTCCTAGGATTGCTTTTTAGCTTTACAGTAAAACAACTGATCCCTACACACTGATTTCTTCTGCATACTGGAATTTTTTATATGAGACACTGATTTAGCCTAAATTTTTCAGCAAGTACTTACAGATATCCTGTCCTGGAATTCTGCTGTAGGCACAACGGGAATACTTCCACCATGCTTTCCAAACTTTCTTTCCAAGCTTTCCTGTACTGACACTAAAAGGGAGAAAGGACAGTTCAACCAGCTTCTTATATTAAGAAGTCATAATGGATCTAAACCTAAGAACACATCCTTTGAAATCATGACTAACTTATGTTTTATAGGCTAGTACCGACACTAAAAGGGAGAAAGGACAGTTCAACCAGCTTCTTGTATTAAGAAGTCATAATGGATCTAAACCTAACAGCACATCCTTTGAAATCATGACTAATGTTTTATAGGCTGGAATGCTACTGGTGATCAGGTAAAGTTTACTAACTGACAAGGTGCAAGGGTACATTAGATCACAATTAGAGATGAGGGTATTCATATATGAATTTCCCTCGCACAGGAGGTGTTAACAAGGGTCCAGCCCTATGCAGCTGGACAGTCCACCACCGATTTGACGCGGACAGTGCAATTCTACGAATGGCTCCACAGCACATGATCTGCTCACCACTCTTTGACCTTACAGCGAGGCTTGTCCTCCAGCCTCATGCCAGGAGTGGAGAGCGGATCAAACCCTATGCAGCTGGACAGTCCACCACCGATCTGACGCGGACAATGCAATTCTACGAATGGCTCCACAGCACATGATCTGCTCACCACTCTTTGACCTTACAGCGAGGCTTGTCCTCCAGCCTCATGCCAGGAGTGGAGAGCGGATCAAACGCTGCAGAGCCATTCATAGAATTGCGCCGTCCGCATCTGCAGCAGGTCGGTGAGTGGACTGTCTGGCCCCATGGGGCTGGACCCTCATTAATGCCACCTATGCAGGGATTTTTGTATTTGTATATTTTATTTATTTATTTATTCAATTTTTACCCCGCCGCTCTAGACAACGTCTACTTGGGGCGGCTTACAAAAAATAAAACAGATTAAAACAATGTAGAAAAATAACTAACATAATGCAATTATTATAATGCCCCGATCTCTAATCACAATGCCCAGCCACCAAGTAATTATGTAAATGAGATATGCCCCAGCAAATAGGAACAGGACAGTTGCCACAGATTTCAAAAGATCTGCTCTGTCTCTAAATCCATCTCCATCTCTTGAAGACAAGGTTTCTGACAATTACAGTCCAGGGCTATAAATATTATTTTACAAATTCCACTCTATTCAGCTGAATTTAGGGCCAAATCAATTTGCTAGTCCCAACTAGATTAGATGGAGCAACTAGGACTTGGTAAGTCAATACATGCATTCTGTATGTCATTGGCAAAACATAGCTGAAGGAACAAACAGATTTATCTATTATTTCCAAGGAAACAAGCACAGAACTGCAATCTGAGCCTGCTCGGAATGTAGATTTCAGTGATTTCAGAGTAACTAAATATCCTGAATTTGCATATTAAAGACTTCTATACTGTGGTTGAAATCCTCTGTAAGTGCCATTGATTGAAATGGCCTACTTTAACCTACTTTAGCATAACAAGTTGTAACAAGGATACAGTAAGTCCATTTGAATTAATTGAAGTGACATAGGAAGCTGGCTCACCAAATCCCCACTGGTTTAGTGGGCCTACTCAACTGCAACTTACTACATTAAACAATAGGATTTCAGCCACTATTTCTCTAAATACTGCATGATACCATAAAGACCTGGGAATTCTGTCTCTCAGTTTTTATACCAACTGATGCTAGAGCGCTTCCTGCTTTATCTTAGCTTGTCTAGTTTAGATATCTACTTAAACTGACTATACTTCTTTGCTTTATCTGTATAAAATATGCAAAACATATTTAAACTTACTTAGCAAGTGGTAGTTAGAGTCCCTTTCATATTTAAAGGTCAAGCGGCCATAGCTGACGTGGTTCAGGTTCTTCAGCCACTCAAAATAAGACACAGTTACACCACCAGCATTTAAATAAAGATCCTGCAGAAGACAAGATGAGGTTTTATTAGTACTGAAAAGCACACAATGGAAACTCAATTTCCCACTCTGCTATTACTCTAGGGTCATTGTAATTCCCTTGTTTGGTGAGTATTAGTCTCCTCAGTCCATTTTCCTATCAGTTATTATAACCAGTGCATGACCCATGAGCTAGGGAGTAGATATATTAACAGACAGTCTTCTTTCATATAAAGAATTTTCATGTATGTGCTTCTGAATTGTAGTCTTCTTTCATATAAAGAATTTTCATGTACTGTATGTGCTTCTGAATTGTGGCAATTGATGAAAATACATTTGATGCTATTGGACTTCAGGCAAATGTGCTTTGAGCTAGTTATCTCCCAATTTAGAAATATCTATAATTCATTGGAGCATGAAAATATTGTAAGAACCTGTGAGCAACCCCCCATCTTTACTGCTGGAATCTTCTAGACAGAAGTAAAACCAAAAGGAGCAATGTGGCTACAGCAGAAGTAGCATCAGTTGCGAAGTATGGATGTGGCAAGGCAATCAAGCCATCAACACTGAAATGTCTCACAATTTGAGGAAAGACTAAAAAGCTACTATATCCATCTGGCTAGCAGTAATCATTGCCCAACTCCTGCCCTAGCCGAGACAAGCAAAAAGGAGGAAAGAAAAAAAAGGCAGAAGCCCCTCTTCTTGGAAGACTGAGGTAGACACCTTACTGGGACTTAAAGCCACATAGCTTTCATTGTAACAAAATGGGGTGTTGCATGAATGTACCATCATCTATAGTCCATTCACTTGTCAACCAAGCTATTTACAGCCATCCTTCCACAACACATATGCTACTACTGTTTTAGGATATAATAGTTGTGCAAAGGTATCATCCCATGATGACTAAGTATATATTCTCAAGGGGAAGTTTATTTTTATTTATTTATTATTCGATTTCTACCCCTCTAGACAGAGTCTACTCGGGGCGGCTTACAAACAGTTATAAAACATCAATAAAAATAGTCATCAAAGCAATCACATAATTAAATCAACAAATTTAAAAGTTCAAGATGGGGAAAAAGGAAAACTAAAAAGAAAAAAATCAAGTGTTGGCTGGAGGGAAGGCCTGCCTAAAGAGTCAAGTCTTTAGCTGACTCTTAAAAACACCCAGCGAGGGTGCCAGGGTGATTTTTGACGGCAAGGTGTTCCATAGCTGAGGGGTGGGAGAAGGCGTTCCGCCATGTATCGAGGTCCTAAACCATTTAGGGTTTTATAAGTCATCATTAACACTTTGAAGTAGATGCGGAAGCAAATGGGCAGCCAGTGTAAGGCAGCCAGAGTGGGAGAGATATGCTGGTGTTTTCTCACCCCACTAAGAAGTCTGGCCACCGCGTTCTGCACCATTTGAAGCTTCTGCATCAATCTCAAAGGTAGCCCCA